AAATGAAACTAATAATAATATAACATCAACACTTTGCCACCCTATATTTTCTGAGGTAGTCTAAACTGGCCCAGTAATTTGCAAGTTTAAGGAAAAATAAAATGAATTTAGAGTGTTAAAAACGACTCTCTAGAATATTAAAATAAAATTCACAAAAATGACAAAATTACAGAAGACACCTCCAGCAGTCGCCACAAGAAGGCTACGTTCAATCCGTACCTTTCTCACAAGTACTCGACCATTGGATCTCGCTTGCTTCTACAACAGTAAATTGCCACAAATCCTTGCAAGCATATCTAATTTGGTGTCACTCTGATGGTGAATAAGTTTCACGTAGATCACTAATATAGAATATAAATATTACCAAAAAATTCTACAGAAAGGTCCCTATAAATCTCCTGCAGCGACTCATTACAACCGAACTTGGCGAGTACATTTTCACAGCGGGGCAAGATCATCGTTCCGAAATAATAACGTGAAAGTATCGAAGTAACGTGGAAACTTTGTTCGAGTTCCTCATTCGACGATGGAGGAATAATTTATCCGATTCCCCCGCAGTCTCGAGAACAATTCTCGCTGCTGGTCACGCATGGAATCACTTCCTACGTTCGACGGGGGCTTCGAGAGTGATCCGCAACCGCGTTTGTTTCAGAAACGCTTCGAGACTACCCCGAGCAATTACGTCGCGAAACTTTCCTTCCAAAGTTTTTCCACGCTTAACGAGCGTGATAAATTTCTGTTACGCGCCCCCGGGAGCCGCCGGACGCGAGGCCAAGAGTTTACAACGGCGATAAAAATCTCGTTGAAATTATTCATGGGCCGAGCTTGTACTTCGCCCTTCTCGATTCCGAAGGGTGGACGAAATTGGTAGGAGCTGTCTCCTGATGTTCCGGGCCCTGTCCCAGGTTGAGTTGCTGATAAATTATAGACTCGACCGGATGGAAGAGACTCGAGAGAAAACGATTTTGCTCGCGATAGTGCTCAGAGTCAAGATATTGGATCGTGCAAGTCCAAAGGACTGATAATTCTGGGTTATTACATCCCTGATATGAAGCGACCACGGGTTGATTAAACGTTTGTAATCTTCGAAACCTGAGGTGCATCGAAGTCGAAGCAAAATTTTCCGCTCGAGCGACACGCTGTTAATTTTCATCAGACGAAACGGGGATGAATGGTCTTCTCGCGTCGTCCATAAATTAATTAATTACAGTCAATGAATAAAACTTGGTTTGCTTGTCCCGTGGTTGCATCGCGTAGCGAGACTTTTAAAACATCAATCTTCTTTGTACGCGAGGACAGTGAAATAAACACTAACTCTAATATATACATAGAAAAAAAAGTAAAATAAAATTTTTTCGTACGAAACTTTTAGGAAATCGTGTTTGGTAATAAATGGGGTCGTGTGTAATAGTGGATTGGACATCGGTATAAGTAGAAACAGTGAGTAATGAACAGATGCGCCAGTTTTACGTATACGACTATTCAAGTTGTCTATGGGACAAAATATTTATTCCACGTTTTCAATAACGAATCGATAATATAAAATAAAGTTGGAATGTAAATGATCGAACTTTTAGATCCTCGATGTCTATATTAGTCATAACAGGTGCACGCGAGGCACAATTAATTTTTTGCCCGAATTCGACAATTTCGAAAATACCAAATTCGTGGAAATCGAGGAAACAATTAATGGGAAATCCAGCTCCGATAAATAGTTTCTATTGACTATAGGAATACATTGACTGCGAGTGGTATTGGCATACAAGCGAGGTTCAATTATATTCGCGGATATAATTATCGTGCACACGCATCATGTCCGACAACAGCCTTTACAATTAAATTAAATGCAAAGGAAAGTGGGTTAGACAAATAAGTTGGAGTTTCGTTATGTTGATAATTTTCAGGGAAAATTTAACAAATGCTTTTCAACGAAATTATACATTATACGTACAAAGTACCCTTCCTTCCCTTTGTATTTAATTTAAATTTATTCGACAGAACAGAGGTTTTACTACGGATTATTATTAATTTAGCGATAAACGGCGATCCATTGGTGATTTTCGATTTCCTTTGTACGTATTTATTTTAACAATATCGCATTGGATAATGATGCAGTTATCGACATTAATTAGACTGTCACCGTGACTTTGATCCCCAATGAGAATGTCGGCATCGATAGACTGGCGGAGAAATTCTACATTGTGCTCCGAATGACAGCCGAGTCTCATTTTTCACTATCGATCTGATTATTCTTCTTTTTGTTTCCGTCGGCCGTCGCGCCACACCGGCTCGAATTTTCCCCGTAGAAAAATTCTTTACCCTCCCGAAGGGCCGATTCGTCTGAATCAGCGCGAAAAGTTCTGCTCGGACAATCGATTCGGTAATTAAATGAAATTCATTTATCGCTCAGACGAGTTTTTCAACTTCATCAAAATTACGTTTTGCCGCGATTCTTTTTATCCCCCTTTTCCTTTTTACTTTCTAATACGTCGTTTAATCGAACACGTTCCCCTCCGTAGATCTTTATTCCACGCTTTTTCAAGCTTTGCTAGCGACGAGACGGATGATCGAAAGGTTTAACCCCTGTCGCGCGTACATTCGAAAAAATACTCGGGGGACGCATCGAACACTCAACCGCGCGGTGCCTTCGCGATGGGTGGAAAACGTAGGTGTCACGAGACGATGGTGGTTTTTCTTTTCGTTGATAAATTACATCGACAATGCGTCAGGTAAATTGCCACAAATAACAGAGCGATGGGATTCGAGTAGGTTTCGATTGCTTCTCGTGGACGCGTCTTCCTACCTACAAATCACTTTTTCGGGTTATGGTTCGTTCCCATCAGAGTTACAAAGACCCCAACATTATTTCGTGCCAGATATCAATGGACGAAAATGTAAAACTCACAAATTTTGTTACCTTAAAAGTTTGTATTATTTTACATAAATAATACTTACGAACGGAAACAAAGATTTTAATTAAAAATATTTTATCCTTGCACCTGTTACGAGCCAGGGCCGTGCAGCGCGCGTGGCCTGCGAGTGCAAGAGAGAGTATGGAATATGGTATCAATTTGTTAGTGAGGTGCACGGACGAACCCGATGCAAGATCGGGGAGCCGCTAGGATAGTTGATAACGAGGACGAACCTGATGCGTAATCAGGGAGCCTCTAGGATGGAGTCACTAACGGACGAACCTGGTGCGAAACCAGGGAGCCGTAGGAGGGTGTAATGTCGTGAACGAACCCGATGCGTAATCGGGGAGTCACTAGGATGGTTGATAACGACGCAGACGAACCCAATGCGAAATCGGGGAGCTGCTAGGAGGTTGGAAAAAACGCAGACGAACTCGATGCGTAATCGAGGAGCTGCTGGGAGGTTGGATAAATCACAGACGAACCTGATGCGTAATCAGGGAGCTGTAGGATGCGGACGAACCCAATGCGTAATCGGGGAGCCGCTAGGATTGTATTAGATTGCGTGGACGAACTCGATGCGTAATCGAGGAGCCACTAGGTTGTAAGAATTTGTATTTGGATTAAGGATATGTTAATTGACCTCGTAACTTTTGAGGGGGCTGGAGGATCAAGTGACAAACCTCAATCTACCCCAACAATTATTAAATAGTTTATTTCGCGGGTGTCGGGGGTGTAGCCACACGTAGGTAAAATTGACACTATAACTGGCTTCGCAAACGCGCGACGTCTTAGCCAGACTGAGGTCTAAAATAGACTGGGCGTCTTTCTTCTCACGTCCCCTGAATATATACAATTTCTTACCCTAATAGCAAAGGTAGAGAAAAAGAGACAGGACAGAAAGACGGAAAAACGAAACTGGAAAATACTCAGTGTAGGAAACGTTTAGCGAAAGAGAGTCATAAAAGTCAAGAGGCTCGCCGGGCCCGGATCAGGGTGGTCCGAGGCCCAGGCGAAACCTTGAGGGAAAACAGACGCCTCGCACGGCTCTGGTCGCCAAGTGTTTAACAGGACGACCAGGCTCGCACGAGACCCTGGGAAAATGGAAAAATAGAAAGCTTAAAACTATCCTTACATTCCATTCCCATTCATACTCTGGCAAGGGCGTAGTGGCTATACAATGGCCGCTACACTTTCAATTATTAAATATAATATAACCCGAGCGGTAAGGTTATATTATTGTGGGAACGTTTAACTAACAATAATCGCTTTATATAATGATGGATTAAAGAAGTTAGGTAACTCTGATTTAATAATGAAACTAGATATATTCTTAAACAAACAAGTAAGATACAAGTGTCTTGTGTCAGTTATGTCGCGTTCAAAGAATGATTATAATTACCTAAGAATGATTTTTTGCACGGTGTTGACGCACTGGCGATGCGGGGGTAAGTCGGTTGACAATAGAGGCCGTAATAGAATTTATACCGGTTCACGGATTCTATATGGTTTAAAATTGATACGAAAGGGTACTGTAGCCCGATCTCACGAAATGCAACTGACTATCAGAACCGTGGACAGCGTAACGAGACGTGATGTTGACTCTAAACGTAACTGTACGATTCTGATCCCCCGAGTAAGGAAACCAAGGGGTTTATATACCCAAAAATCTGTGGGTGAGGATTCGGATGCACGTTAGACATTACCATATTTGGTAATCTCTGAACTTCGTTAGTCACCGAGCAGCTGCATTTCGTGGGAACTGACTCTACATTCCAAAGGGTAGATAAGTAGTAGGGCGTTTTCCTAATGCACGCAAGTGGTACGGAAAAATTGGGGAACGAAACGTTCGGCATACGTAACACACCCTGAAATACATTGTTGTTTTTTTTCCTTTTCATGTAAAATCGATAATTATTATTTTTGCCGAGTAAGATCGTCCCTGAAGTGCTAGTGAAAATCAAACTTCACAGTGCAGCCAACTTTCGATAGCCAACTGTTTCTTTGACTGTTTCTCAAGGAAACAGATCACGTAGAGGGCGAGGCAGCGTTTGATAAGGGTTTTATCAAGATTCTCGACATACTCACTTTATGAAATTTTCTAGGAGCAATCGGATTCCACCGATGCCCAACAAGAGGAAGCCCCAGTTGACGAATCCCGTAAAGTTGTCGAAGCCCGAGCTCCAGGAGAAAAGACTATCTCTAGGACGATGACATCTGTAAGAAAAAAAGAACGATGCGAGTTAAAAAGAAATTGTCGTTTCAGACCGACTGCACGCTCGCCGTTCGCGATATAAATGAAGAAAGGCACCATGAAAACGTCACTAGAATAAGAATGGAACAATAAAGCCGCTTCCATATCGTACGGTTATATGCATTTCCATTTCAATTTACGAAGAAACATGCGATTTATGCAACGTATTGAAAACATTTGTTCAAGCTTTTCTTATTTCCCTCGATCTCCCTCGACATTTCTTCGACTCTTTTTAGACGGAAACGAAAACGCGGGTTGGCGATGCATTCCACTTGGAATAAACGTACCGGTGACGGACAAATGCGCGCTACGTGGATTGGCGTCCTTACGATAGCAAATATTAGGTCGTTCGGTGAGCATAAACTCAGTTATAGTTACTGTTATTCGAACGGAGCATGTCTATCATAACCAAACTCGCGTTCCGTGCATCATATTAGATTTATTCTTTGCCAACGGTCTTTTAATAAATAAGTCAACATTCTGTAAGTGTATTTTTCGAAACGGTATTTGCTTTGCAGGTTCTTTGGGATCGCGTCCCGGCGTGCGTGGAAATACCAAACCGCTTCAAGCATCCAGAAATTCTCTTTTGTACAGCTATTACAAGTGGACACTGTCGACAATAAACCGCGCAGAACGTCCGTCTCATGAAATCTGAATGGCGTGCACGAGAGATCGCGGAGAGTGGTGGATACAAAACCCTCTCGTCTTAGGTATCTCTCGCGCAGATAATACACCGGGTGAGCCTAAGTAATCGGCTTCCACGGGCTACCGGTATCGTCCCTCCGTGACTGCGAGCACGTTGAGAAAGCTGACAAGGACCATCGTGTAAACTTTTCAAAAGCGTTTTGTCTCCAAGCATAAAGCGTTCGAGGAGACCCTTGTTCCTTCTCTCGGATAAGACGCGCTCGCCGGAGTGCGAGAATTTAGGGAGACGAAACAAAGCGCGGCCGTTCGGCGGTATGTATCGCTCGGAAGCAAAACGTATTATTCGCGAAACTATCACGAACTCTACTCTTCTTCCGACAAATCGACCACCGTTTAAACTTTGATCCTCTGGCTAAAGTAATGATTCGTAAAATGAACATCACTCCGAGGCTGGCAGGTTCATTCCTAGTACAGTAGAGGAGAATTTGGACATCAGAAAACGTTTATACGTTTATATATTTATAAATTATATAACGTTGAAACAACTTCTTTTTTCACATTCATCGTATACTATTATATCATTAAATTATTGAATAATTTAACGTAGTAAATAGCGTATTTTGAAGAATATCTTTCTAGAGTTAGTAAGTTGTAGCTTTTCCACTCTTTGTTAAGCACTGAAGGAGATCCCCCAGGTAGTAAGGGACAGTTCAATTTACGAATCACGCGTTCATTTTAAGAATCATTGCTGTATCCTCCACGGTATGCTTTTTGTTTTTCCACATCAGGACGTGATTAAAGCTGAAACTGAAAGGGCTTTTAAGCTGTCCAGCGCAGGAAGCCACCGGATCTTAACTATTTACGGCCAAGAGATATCCCACCACCAACTTTAACCGGGGAGCTCGATCATCCGGACTATAATAAGTCTACCGTCAAAGGGGTTGCGCGAGATACTGTTCGAAACAATCAGAAAAGAGATAAAAATAGTGGGTAAAAAGCCACGGCGCGGCGCTGTAAAACTTGACCGGCAAAAGGAACGTCGGATTAAGGCAAAGATTAAAGACGTTCGTTGGAAGCCCTTTCAGAAATACCGACCTCGTTCGTTCCTCGTGTAATTGCCCGACAGAAGGCCCTTGTGTCCCTGCGTCCAGCAACTATGTGCGTTTAATGTGATCGTTTAACCTCTCTGGCTGTCTCGAGTAAATCCTAACTATTACTCCGAATTTATGGCAGATCGTGGTAATTAATAGAGTCGCGATAAAGCCGGGCAGGGTCGGTCGAGAGCCGCGCAGGAAGAGCTATCTCACACTTCTGATACTACGGGCTCGGTCTGCATGGCAGGATGCAGACGCGTCGCCGAGAAACTCCATATGCATGAGTGCCAGTATACTGGGTGTCCAAAGTGTCACGTCCAACTTATCCAGAAACGCGCGACAGCGCAATAAACGCCTAAACGATCTTCCGAGTGGTTGTATCGCTGCCCCTGATGGAATTGTAGATCTTTGATTGTCTCTCGACTACCCTCGTACTCCTTGGCTATAACGGTGGCTACCGATCCCTCGAAATCTCAGTATTACTACTTTTCCATCCACGCGTAACGTCAAATTATTTTTTAAACGCTCGAGGTTTCGAATAATCACGGATTCCGGTTCTCCAAAATGGTCGCCGCCGCTGGCGCAGGCGAAGACAGAAACGTACGAAGACGGTCTCATCGCGTTGACAAGGAGACGCAAGTTACTTGACTACTTTTCAAAGTTTAGATACGGGTTTTTGACAAGCACAACCGGTTTCTTATCGCTGGAAGCGAACCAGTTGTCGGACGTCTTCCGGCTAACGCGTCGCGATGCGCGAAAAAAGTTCGTCCCGGAGCGAGCAACTTCGCGACACACGAGTTCTCGACGCAAAATCGACCGGGTCGTAAGCACTCCTCCGTTTATTGACGCTATAAAGTATGTCAAGCGGAATTTTTTGCTGTAAAACACTAGTATAAGACACACGGTTCCGCAGCAATAGAATACACGGTAAACAGAAAACAAAAAACAGTATTCCCCGCTTGTATGCAGTCAATTTTTCGCCACCTGTAAAGAACAAAGACATAAATGAGACCAGATCCTACGATGTTAAATGCAAATATGTGCACTCATTAATAAATCTGCTAGCAGTTTTTCTTTCATTCTGCGATGCCCTAAAAATGATACAGAGGCGACACCCGTCTCCCGAGCGTGTGCAATCGAAAGAAACCGATTTCGAAATCATTTTCACGGGTGACATTGCGCGAATTATTCCTTCGCAGTCTCACGAAGGTTCATTTAGCAGGACGCGAATCGAGGCCAAATTGGACGCAATGGATGGCGTCGTTAAAATTCATTTCCGTCTGATTCGGGACTCGCTGTTTCTCGCGAAAAATCGCGAACGGGAACTGCTTATTTTAACGCTCGAATTTCACGGCGTACCGCGTGCGCGAAACACGTAAACAGAGGGGCGTAAAAGTTGCGTTGTCGTCGTTACCGTGACCACTAATTAAAAAATGTGGCCGCTGCCCGATCATTGTTTTTCGGGTTAGCCAGTTATCGCTCGGCGGGGAAGTCGAGGCGAGAAAAAAAAAGGAAAAATATTTCGCTTTTTCTCGCGAAACAACGTTGGAAACAAGAGGGAACAATCGGTACGCGCCGGACGCGCGAAACGAAATAAAGAACGAAAACGCGTTTTTCCATCGCGGGACCGCGCGAACGGCGTCGCTCGACGATGTTTTGGCATAATTATCTGAGCATACGTGACCGCATCGCGTAATATGATTCGGTCTGGATGAACTTTCGCACCGCTGCGGCGCGATTCGCGTTAGTTGATCCAAAATTTAATCGCCACTATTTTCCATTTCAGCATTAGAGAGATAGCATTTTTTATTCTTTTTTTTACGGAAATTTCTCATACGTTGGCGTATATCGTCGACGCAAAAATGGTAAAAAATGATAACCGAACGATTAAAAGTGTGTGTAATATAGTACGGGGAGGTGACGAATTATTGCGTGAAAAATATAAGAAATAATTAGTCGGATTAATTACTAGCGAAGCAGCTGTTGAAAACAAAATGCAATCAGCGTTGCATGGATAGAGAAGACACACGATTTTCGTAATTCATTTCGGTGAAAATGGGATTAAAGCTAAGAAACTGTGGAAGCTGTAACCTTATTGCTGAGCGTCGCAGACAATCACTCTTCGCTCAGGACACCACGTTTTAAACAGAGAAAATTATGCGACCGGTGCCAAAAATGCGTGGGAACAGTGGTCGTGTATAAAACTAATAATATTATATTGTCCCATAAAGCTAACAGACGTCGCCAAATGCACCCTGTTTTCTTGATATTAACTTTGCCAAGCATTCGATCACCGGAACATGTTACACGGACATTTACCCTAACAGCCAGTTGACCCATAATCAAAATACATTATCGCTAAAAATTATGGGATCGCTTTTTTTATTCGAACTTTTTATAGCTAAAAGCCATTAGGTAAGATTAAACCTGTGACGATCGCGTTCTATACGATCATTGAAAACGACCATTTAATGTTTGTTTTATGATTCTAATTTACTACCGCATTACTATTGGCTAGACTAGCGTTTTCCAATAGGTGAATCATAATTTTCGAAATTAAGAAACCCTTTAGAAAAAATAGTAGAGTTTGGAATATCGAAAAATTTGTCAGAAGATAACCGGGAAATCTGAAAAATAAACTAGCACGCGTAAGAAAAACGTCGTTTAATAAGCAAGTAAATACGGATTGATTTATCGCTACCGAAAAAAAAAACAGACGCTCCGGTATTAATGCAATCGTGTGTCGCAAAGCTATTAAAACTCTTCGTTATTCGATTCCCCAAGCAGCATTCTGTCCCCCGTCGTTAAACTCTAATTTGAAAAACTCGTGACCTACGAACGGCATCGTTAGTTAATTATACGCTCGTTAAAATTATCGATACTGATAACGGAGTATGACGTGTACCGCGGTAGCAAAACGAATAATTGTACTTCTATCAGCGTAATTAATATCCGGCCCGTTGTGCATAGTTAAGGTTTCCCGTATGCAGTGAATTATGCGTGCCTTTTCCACGCATCTCGATCCATATTCGTCGCCTTATGAATTATAAAGCTGATACGGTCGTCGCTCGTGCGACGTAGGGATAAGAAAAAAGCCCATTGTATGCAAAGACACGAGTAACGATCAACTTACCACGCTTATACAAAGTGGTTACCAGAATATGCGAGCATAACTTTCGGTCGTGAATCCGGTATGCATAAATAACGAAAACAGTTTATACAAA